AATGTCCAAGTTTTGTCTGTCTTCTGGGTGTCTTTGATCTCAGCATCAGAACAATATAGAAGCAAAGCATGAGGAGCTGAGGGTCACTAAGTGTGTCTTGTGGGAGGTGTTTGTCTCTCTAGCATCAATGACTGTTTCCCAACAGATCCGTCCTGTTTGTGGTCAGTCCCTGGCACCTATTCTCTTGATAAATGAAGATGGTTAGAGGAAAGCCACAAAGGATGAGGGGAAAATGCGTGTGCACACTGCATCATAGAATGGTATCCATACTGGCAAACTGGCTAATGTTATTTTTTCCAGTGATTTTGTTCTAGGAAATAAGCTAGATATATACATTTATTTACCTTACTATAACCTTTTAAGCTAGATTCTTATTTGTTGACCTTACTACTTTAACCTTACAACAACCCATTGATGTCAGGACTCTTGCTATTATCACTGATTATATCATTAAATAGCCCAAGAGCTTTTAAGGCATATCTCCAAAGGAAAGATAAATAGATGTCCAATGAGTGTCCACAGCCATAAAAGAAAAGCACCCTGGTCACTTCAAGGTTATCATGTGAAAGGGCTTCCTAGACCATGATGTAAACCCCCAAAGGTAGGCACTCACTGGTGGTAATGAATGCGGAAGGAAGTGGGAGATGTAGGTATTGGCATCCAACAATAATCCTGGTTTGTTTGAATATTACCATTAAATAGTTCTGGCAAGAAGCATGTCATACGATTGTCTCATCATTTCCACATTATTGCTTCTGAAAAAGGATAACAACACATTTCTCTGGAACAGTGGGAAGACACAGCTCCTTGGCCTTCCCTGGACAGACTCAAATGTCGAAGAGGGCAGGGAAGGATTGACACTCTGGGGATTTGTTTTTTTAATTATTATTTGTTATTATGTCTTGTTTCTTCTTAATGAAAACAAGTCCTTTCACTCCTCTTTTTAGATTTTTGGGCACCAAGTTGTATGCCTCAGTCAGGCTTTGGCCTGAATTCACAGCTGTGTATTTGTCATTTTTTTTTATTAAAACATGAAAGAACTTTTCTAAACTGAATCATGAAATGATGTCTTTCCTCTCATCCGTGTACGTGTGTGTGTGTGTGTGTGTGTGTGTGTGTGTGTGTTTGTGTGTGATTCAAACCTACTCCCCTAATGTTTGAGTAGTGTTGTTTTAGCTGGGACAAAGGATTAGTGTGAAGAATTGTTGGGGAGATCTGATCACAGAAGGGTGGATAGGAAAATATCACTGGTGGACAGGGAGTGAGGACTAATAAGAGGGAGTTGGTATCACTGAAAAATCTGTAGAAGACATGATTGTAGCAAGTGTGACTGTTCCCCCAAGCTACCAAGAAATGGGAATCTTGGGACATAAAATAGGAAATTAAGATGGGCACAGTCCATGATCACACAATTCTGCACACAATACTTTCTAATCATTTTACAAATCCCTGCGTGTTAGTTCTTCTAGGCATGGAAGTAAAAGTAGAGAAATCCTAATAAGACATTAGAGCCTCTCATTTAGGAGACCCAGGGCAGAACTGCAGAGCCAAAATTACAGAGTTAGACTCCAAGTTTCCATAGCCCCAGTGACTCTAAGACGTGGTACACTGGCAGGGGAGTTATTTAGGGAGTCTACGATCTTGGACTTTTCTCTCAATATGTTTTGGTCTGCACAGCACTTTTCCTTACACCAGAACAGTATATAATTCTGCATTTCCAACATTTCTATATTTGCTATATTTTGTGCAACATGCCAAATGTCATAATGTAATGACTAAGTTCATTGATTTAGATGATAGTAAAAACACGTAGATGATATTTAGCAGATGTTTCTTAAATTAAAAAAATCACTGTAAATATGGGTTAAAATTCTAATGTTTTTTTTTAAATTAAAATTTACATGCTGTCTGGTTAACTCTATATTCTTCTGTTTGAGGCGTGCAGTAAAAGAAATTTTGGCCAAATGACCTGGATGTGGAAGGGGTTTTCTAGAAGTGCTTTTTATGCTTTTTCCAAATTTATATATATATATATATATATATATATATATATATATATATAGGATGGTTCACTGAAAGCTGAATGTTTATTGCAGAATTTTCTCAGACAAAGGATATCTCCCTTGGAATTGAGACAGAGGCTTCTAGAAGTTGTCTGGAATCATACTATTTTGAGGATCATACTTGCATTCTCCTGAAGGGTCCAAAAGGTCACACTACTGGCTATCCCTTCTTTCTGGATACATGTTGTTTTTCCTATGCCTTGTCCTTAGAATCTTCTTAATGTGCATTTATACTTATTTTGTCAATAGCAGGAGGAAATCACAAAAAGACTTGAGCTGGCCTATGCATAAAGTGAGGGAACATTTACTGTTTTCTCATAGACACATGAGTAGAAAATAACTATTGGTTAGGATTTGCCTTTATTTTTGGTAGCATTCTCGGAAGTTTCTCTAAGAAATATTGTATTCTAAAAATATCAAAAAGGAGCTGTGTTCAAATATGTCCAACCAGCAAAGGGTTATACAAAATTTCTGTGGCCTTTATTGAAATAATTCTTACAGACATCATGAATTTTCAGGAAATTGTGGCATGCTGCAGTTTTCTCCAGTAGATTTAAGCATTTTGCCACTTTGTTCCTCCAGAATATCAGCCAGGATCAGAATTTATGAATTTAGGCAAAACTGATCAATGTGGATACTTGAACCTTGCAGATGAACTGCATAGCCTTTTAAAGTCTTACTTCCAGCATATTCACTTTTGTAATTCAAAACTTATTTAGAAAAGAATGTAAGCTAAGGAAACTGCAGAAAGACACTAAATGTGAAAAGAAGGAAGAGATTTGATACAGAAAGGAGGATGAGGAAGAAAGCACTTGACAGGCAACGGGGAGAAAACAGAAAACTGCCTTCTTAAGTTATCTTCATGGAAGTCAATATTGATATTCTTGCTAGAGAACTGAATGTGTAATTGTATGTGCACCTGGATGATTTCTGTACTTGTGTATGTTGACATGAAATGGTAGCCATCTTGGGAAGTGGGAATATTGCATTTCACTGGGTTTTTTTCAGCAATAGATGTTACTGATTTCAAGACCTGATTTCAAGGTACATTAATCTTGATCGTGGTATGATACATTATCAGCTATGTACAAGTGAAAGAGAATTGTTGCTGAAATTGTTCTTCTGGAGGGCCAGACAGCCTTTGGACACTGTAATATAGAGAAGACTCCATTGTTGTGAATGAATCCAACCTTGGAAACTAGTATTAGACTGGGTCACAAAGACAGGGTCAGCCAGGGAATACAGCCAAGGGTGACTGAGCTTAAGAGGATTAATCTAGGCCTCTTGACATTCTTGTCTCAGGCTCCAGAGATGAGACTCAGCCTGACCCTGACAATTTTGAGGACTAAAGAAATATAGCCAGGTCAAGTGGTTCAATTACGGGATGAAGAGGGAAACAAGGAATGGATATTTTTTATGATGATCCTAGGGATTGAATTCAGGGCCTGGGTTCTGTCCCTGACCTTCTTTGCTCAGGGCTAGCACTCTGCCATTTGCACCACAGCTCCACTTCAAACTTTGTAGTAGTTAAGTAATGATACAGGTCTCTTGGATTTTCCTGCACAGGCTGGCTTTGAACTCTAATCTTCAGATCTCATCCTCCTGACTAGATAGGATTTTAAGCATGAGCCACAGTCATCCTGTGGGAGTGGAATTTTACTAAGCCAGAGAGATAGATGTTTGGACTTTTGCCCCTTCTTTTTCAAGAAAACAAATCAGCTGGTTACTGGTGGTTCACACGTGCAATCCTTCCTACTCAGGAGGCTGAGACTCAGAGAATGAGGTCTCAAAGACAGCTTCGTCAGAAAAATGTGTGAAACTGTCCCCCATATGACTAGCAAAAACCCAGGCTAAAGGTGTGGCTCAAGTGGTAGAAAGTCAACTGGGCAAACAGGAGGCCTTGAGTTCAAACCTCAAGGCCAAGAACCAGCCAAGAACAAAACAAAAACCAATGCTAGTGTTTTAGCCTCCATTTTCTAGACAACAATACTGAGTTGTAGGAAATCTGACAGCCATCTAGTCCTTGTAGTTGGTGTATGGAGGTGCCAGGTAGCAGACTTATATTTCGACAGCTCCTAATCCTTTCTACTCTCACCTAGAACAACAGCCCTTTACCTATTAAGTTGGTTTTTCTGTTGTTATTTTATTTTTAAATACGACGTGTAAAGCACATACTCAGATATTTTGATTTAATTTATCAGGGATAGCCTGATAAGCTTTATTTTTTAAACTCCTTTGGATGATTTTTTTCCATTTGAAAATATAATCATTGCTGGAGGTGTGGCTCAGGGGTCAAGTCCTTGCCAAGCAAGCACTGAATTCAAATCCCAGGACTTAGAAAACACTTTAAAAAACACAAAAATATCATCCAAAACCTTATTTCCATGAACTATTGTTAACTACTATTAATTCCTGAATAGAACCAAGGCATTGAAAGTAAGAGTTCACAAAAAATACAGAGAAAGTGACTTTACAATATGATTTCAAAGCTAAGCAGAATAGTCTTATTTAATGAGATCTAGGGTAACATCAACTTTTCAAAAGCAGTCATTTAATAAAAATGGAAGTCTAAGAGATCTTATTTAAACAATGCTATTCGGGATGTTCTATAGCATGGGTGATTTTAATAGTAGAAAATGAATCCTGAGCTTAAGTCACCATGATACACGCTCATATTGCTCTGTCCATACACGTAACCCCATACACATATCTAGACCCACACGCACCCATGGAAGGAGTGAAAGGAATGTTTATTGGTTAGTTCTGAGTGTCTTTGTGGCAGGAGGGAAGTATAATGACTATGCCACTAAAAGTCATAAAATGTCTCCTTAGAGGGCTGAAATATAATATTTGAAGTATATCAGAACAGATAGCTCAGAACAGAATGACTGATCTGCATTGAATGCTCAGAGATGTTTTCTAAACCTTCCATTGTAGGTGGTATTGTCCTCAATCCCACATACTATGGCATGCCTGGCCACACCGACATCATGATCCATGAAATAGGACATGTCCTGGGACTCTACCATGTCTTCAAGGGGGTCAGTGAAAGAGAATCCTGTGATGACCCTTGCATGGAGACAGTGCCATCCATGGAAACAGGGGACCTCTGTGCCGACACGGTCCCCACTCCCAAGAGTAAGCTGTGCAGGGACCCAGACCCGGCCAATGACACCTGTGGCCTCGCCCACTTCCCAGGAGCTCCCTTCAACAACTACATGAGCTACACAGGTATGATTGGATTTCCCCCAAAGATCACCTCTACCCTGGAGACTCTCATAGTGGAGGTGTGGGAGCTAGAGAGATTACTGAGCAGTCATTAGTGTCAAAGAATTGAAGTATATTTATTATGGAAATGTTCTCTTCCCCCTCACCCCCTCCCTGCCACGCTATGTTGGACCTGAGGATTACTGAAATATTAGAAACCTTGTTGAATGAATATTTTTCCCACTAGGTTTAAAAATAAAGGTACTTCTCTTTCTTGAATTATAAAAAGAGGACAAAGCCAAAAAGCCCTCCTGAGTTCTAGTCAACTTAGAGAATTTAGGGATTCTTGCTATTGTTCATTTTTGGAAACATTCACTCTGAAGGAGAGTCCAATGTGTGAAAGAGGTTTCTTTATGGTATTTTTTCTTATATATGAATAACATGAGGACCTGGTTAATTTAAGCTCAGGATGCATTTTCTACTATTAAAATCTGAATTTTTTTTACAGTAGCTGTACACTGATTCTTGGCTTGCACTCCATATACCCTGGTACTCTTTGGAAACTGGTGTCCTGAGAGTCACTGCACTGTTTGCTCTTGTCTTTCCTTGATGTAAACTCTGTATTATCCTTCTTGCCTATAGTTTCTATCTTCCTTGTTTCTGGAAAATTGTAACACTAACCAGTGTCCTGAGGATAGACTTCAATTGGATCCTAAACTTAAGGTCTAATTTGACTTGATCCATTTAATCCAATGGTGAAAAAAAAATGGTTTTACAGTTCCAAATACTCCTTCTAGAGCTAACCCCCAAAGGACAATGCATGGTAATGACTTTTACGGAAGAAAGAGTTGGTCCTGCCTGTGACCTATTAAGATATTTTTCTCCATTCAAGTTTCACTGAGGTGAATAATTAAAGTGTAATAAATTTGTAAGCACCAACACCTGCTCCTTCTCTAGTCACAACACGGTGGCCTTTGCCAGGGGCAGAGTTCACATGAGGAGCAGAGGTAGGAACTCCTTAAGTGTCGTCTTTAAGGTTTACAGAGGAATCATATAAGAGAAAAGATGAGGTAATATTTGACTGGCATGTTTTCAGTGGAAACATCCCCAATTCTGATATAACTGATTTGGGGCTGAGGGCATAGTTCATGTAGTACGGTGCTTCACGCCTAGCATATATGCGTCCCAGTACCCCATCAGAAAACAAAGCAAACCAAAACAACAACAACAAATCCTCTCTCAACACTATGAGCACATGGATGGAAAATAGGGGGACTTTCTGGTTCCAAAAGTTAAACTGTTTCCTTGACATTTGGCTTTCTCCCCCTTGAGAATCTCCACTGAATTTTCACTAGTCTTGGCCGGCATCACAGGGCAAAGCAGGTGTCTGCGACTTGAAGCATGAAAGGCCCTCTGCTGAAACAGTGCCATCTTGTGGTTTACCGAAGAAGCAACTGTTAACTCTGCAACCCTGTACGTAACTCCAGGGTGCCAAGTTCACTCTGGGTCAGCTCCACTATTAAATTAATGGCCTGACTTTTGAGATAAGCAAGTCTTATGCTTCTGCCTTCTCTTTCCCACTTCTAGCTTAGACACCTTCTGAAACAGAATGTACTTACTCTTTCAACAAGTGTTTATTGAAACTAGTGCATGCCAAGGTATGGGTAACAATTACCTTGGTGGGCTTTAACAAGAACAATCACTCCATTTCTTATGCTTTCTTATTTTGCCTCCACAGATGATGACTGTACTGACAGCTTCACCCCCAACCAAGTGGCCCGCATGCACTGCTATTTGGACCTTGTATACCAGCAATGGAGTCAAAGCAGAAAGCCCACCCCCATTCCCATCCCACCCATGGTCATTGGGCAGACCCAGAAGTCCCTCACGATCCATTGGCTGCCTCCTATTGGTGGAGTTATATATGACAGGTGAGACAGGTCTTGCAGTGGGTGAGCTGATATATTTTCCTTGCAGAATTTTATAGGAGAGGAAGAATGAGAAGCTTGGGGACCCCTCTTTGCAATTGGGAATGGGTACAGCACTGTTCAGGGCTGCCTCCTCCAGCTAGCTCTGTGCTCAGCTCCTCAGCCCAGTTCATGGGCCACTTTTGTGAGACAGTAGTTCAGCACAGTGTTCACTTCTCAGCCAGGGGTCTGGAGAGGACGGTCAGTATAATAAAGATGGCCTGTAAGAAGTGAGATGGCATTCGCCACCTGTCTCAGTCATCTGTTCTTCTGTGGTATGATGATAGGACAGAGGCTTGCTACTTAAATGGTGCAGTTCAGGGGACGGGAACTAAGTAAGGCAAATTCCTCCAAGCAGTTCTGCAGGTAGATGGGAGTGTACAAATCGCCATGACTGCATTCCATCTCTCTCTCCTGCCTTGCTGTGCCTTTATGGCCACTCTCTTCTGGAATTATCACTATCTGTTCCTTTTCCTATCTGCCTCTCTCATCTGGCCTTTGGGGGTGGAAGTGTAACTACATTTTGTATCTTTTGCCTCTTGATCTGCCACAATGGACACTTCATAAGGATTATCAAAGAAAAGCAAGATAAATAAAGCTAGCTTTCATTCAATTGTCCTTTGCATAACAAATGCCAGGGATTTTTTTGTAAGCACTAAAGGAAGCTGGGAGAAAGAACAATAATTAACAGGGTTATTGGGCTTCAGGTTTAATTGGAAAGGATGAGAATCCCATCGGTGACTTCTGCCGACTGGCCTTGATAGGCAGAAAACCCCATGCTAGATATTTTGTTGCACTTATTTTAGGCAGTTCTTGCAGTAAGCAGAACTCAAAGCCATAGAAGTGAGAAATCTGAGGCAGAGAAACAAATACAGCTGGCCTAAGACCCCGCACTAAGTGGAAATGACTTGGGGAAAGTCACTGGAAATTCAGAAAAGAGAAAGAGGAATTATTTTTTTGAAATTAGTGCTGTCGCATTAAGGAGGTGGATAGCTCCTCTTTCTTGTTCCATGTCTCCTTTCTGGGTGTCAAGGCCCATCTAAGTAGTGAGGTGTCCCCAAACTATGTCATTGTGCCCTTGGGTTTTAATAAAAAATTCCAAGAGAGAATACAGAGAGAGGAGGTTATTATAACACCAATAAATCCTTCTCCAAAGTGGTATTCACAAACCCTTGCGATTTTCATGCTTGTTCTTGATTCTTTGACCCATACTTAGTAATGACATCACTTTAGACCTCACAGGTCTACAATAGAGTTTGCATTGTCAACAGTACCAGGGGCTCTCAGAGGCTTGCTTTGGTAACTCAGCACACATCTATGCGATGTGTATAAGAATCATCTTCCTGCAATTGTGACCTTCTGCCACTCTGGTCACACTGGCTGAACAGTAAGTCCTCTGTGGGTATGTGCAAACTGGAGTTTTACATCAGTTTATGTAACACATGTAAACAATTTAATCTTTCAATTCTCTCTCTGGTACAAATGTTACGATAAAGCAGACATCAGAACTGGCTCAGTCAGGAGTCTGTTGGCAGAAAAGACTGCAATTTGCTTCCTCTTCTCGGCGAGGTGGGCTAGCTTGGAGACCTCCTCACACGTGTGTTGGGCGGACTCGCGTCACATACTCAACGATTTGTGTCATGTCTGGAGTTCTGTTTACTCCACCCCAGTAGGTATTTGGAATCCTATGTCAGAGAGGAGTCCCAGCTACGCACTCGGCCGCAGCCCCGGAAGGGCCAAGTACATCAGGGAAATGTGGTTTGGAGCAGTGTCCTCACTAGACGTGAGTGTGGACTGGAGTCAGTGGGTGGTTTTTAACTACTCCTTTTATTTGCCAAAGTACAGGACAGTATCAAGTTGGTGAAGTTGCTCACAGGAATGAATAAACCCGTATCTTTGGGAAATTTAATTAACCTCTCTGAGCCTGAATGTTTTCATTTGTTTCATTTCATTGTAGGGAGGAGAAATAATGTGTGAAAAACACGTGTAGCCCAAGGCTGGGTAGGTGAGATGTTTAATAAGTAGGAGCTGATGTTTTCATTACTACCTCTACCTAACAGTACTGTTTTACTAGCATTTTATAGGATAGCAATATGCTATTAATACGTGCTGTTGATACATTGCTTGATGAACCTCTCTGAGTTGATGCCTGTATTTTTAGATTTTTGTTCACAGTTAGACTTCTACAAGAGATTTCTAGTATGAAGAGACTCACAAAGTGCAAGTCTCTTGTTATCTGACTATTATTCTTTATTATTCTGGTTGTCCCCACATATGGTGCCCGTGGAGCACTTCATACACTGTGCTGATCCTTTCATAACCAACTCCTGGAGGGGCTGTGGAAGCCATTCCCTGGGCTAAGTGCTGGGGACAGAGGGACAATGGTATTGGTCTGATGCAGCTCACAGGCAAAGGAGAGTATTGGAATATCTAAATTTCTAACACCACATACAAATGTCCAAAGGGAAGAGATAGTAGGAGTGGTGGGAGCACAGAAGAATGGGTCCTAATTCTCAGAAGAGGATGGCAAACACACTGTCAGCAGCATAGAGGTAAGTATTTAAGAAACTGAGAAGCTTAAAACGGTCACTTGAGGGCCAGAAGCAGCACAGCATGGCGAGCTGTGCACAGGGCATGATGTAGGCAAGGCATGGTGATATGTTCATTGGGGTTTTTACATTGCTGTCCATTTCGTGAAGGTGAGATCTACCCAATTAGGACTTCAGCTGAGAGATGATGCTGTCTCCTTTGGCTCTCTAGGGCTTCCTGTGCAGTGCCATCCTCCTTCCTCAGGGCCTTCCTTTTCCTAGTTCTTCTGAGGGCCACTGATCATCTTCGTCTTTTCCTCTTCTCAGGACCCCGGGCAGCATGTGTGATGCTTGCACTGAAGATGGGACGTTCCGTCAGTATGTCTACAAGGCATCCTCGCAGAGAGTGTGTGACTCTTCGGGTTACTGGACCCCAGAGGAGGCTGTTGGTAAAGTACCATGACTTCTTTGATTCATATGTTATTGACCACTGAGATTGGGGATGAAGGAAAAGGGTGAGGGCTAGCCTGGGGAGGAACAGACAATGCATATGTGTTGCTGCATATATACCCGGCCTTGGAAAGACTTCTTGAGGCAGATGTGTGTGGCAGCTGTCCCATCGCTGCCCAATGTGGATATTCAATGGCTGTGATGATGCAGAGGTCAGCACATAACACAGATGGAAAAAGCAGTCAGCCAAAACTTAGGGGTAGCTTTGATGCCTACTTGTCCCTGCATGAGCCTTGGCATACGATAGAGTAAGCTGATCTCCTACTCTCCTCGATCAGGAGGATAATACAGAACAGATTTCAGGGAACACTCATTCACTGGCTTGGCGAATCTGGGTGGGGGTAGGGTGGACTAGGTGTTCCACACGGGCTGTTCTCATCTAGGCTATTTTATGAGTCTATTAATGCCGGTACTACTTGTGCTTTGGATGTGATCTAAGCTAGGCTCTCCGAGGGGGAAGATGTTTTTGTTATCTTTTTTTCCTGTCCCTCCCTCGACTTCTCAGGCACATACTCACATACTTATATCAGGAACGGGGGAGAACATTTCAGCATGAATCTTTTCCCAGTTCCAATCCAGAAAGTGTTATTGACATGACTTTTAGCACCTTGTGATAAATGGTTTGATTTCTTCCCTCATCATCCTCTTCAGTGTTTCCTAATCATCATCTGTTAGCTTTGCTTTCCCCTCCCTGCCCCTACTTATGTTTTTTAAGTTCCAAAAACTTACTCAGAAATATGTGTTGGATTCAGTCTTTCTGAATTAACTTGTAGCTTGGCCATGAAAATCAAAAGGAAGACAGTGGCCTAAGAGTGCATAGTACCTGAGCAATACCATCTGGGGCTTCCAGGAATTCCAGTGGCAGAGTTAAAGGGAGACCATTCTATGACTGACTTATATATGATCATTTCAATAAAGCTTTTCAGGGAATAAAGAAAAGTGGATATAACATTTATGGAACTTCAAGGTTGGCACTTCAAAAAAATCCATTTTCTGTGGTAAACAGTTGGTTCAGTGCTGGAGCTTTAATGTCTGTTTGCCTTCCTGATCCCAAACTTTTCTTAATGCTTATTTTTTCTAAATAACATTCTTATCAGAATTCAGAGTTATCTGGTGGTGGAAGTGAATGGAATTAGAAATTCTGGATTCTAATTCTTGCATCTTTAGGCAAACCAAGTCATCTTTGAAGTCACCTACTTAATGCTTCACAAGAACTTCTAATAAAAACTTTCTGACAGTGCTGTAGGGTGACTGAAAAGGGCCTTTAATTAGCTAGTATTCTGGGGTAAGCACTGGAAAACTGCTAAAAATCAAACAAACTAGTGTTCTTTTACAAAAGGGAGAATGATCTATCTATCTATTCTCTCTGTCTCTCTTTCTCTCTCTGTTCTTCTAAGGTGGGGATTAAATATTAGTACTTATTTCTAAGTAGGAAAATCAATACAGGTTTGCTATAGCCACACAAGGTCTGGCCCAGGGCCAATCAAAAGCTGACCCTACTGATCTCTAATTCACTACTGTCTCTTTAATTTCCTTCATGTGATATTGAAAAAAAACAACTTGTATGGATTATTTTCACAGAGCTGACCTTACTATGTTTGTGATACCTTTTTTTCACCATTGCACTTTTATTTGGCTACTAATACACCATTTTTTTTCTTATGCAATCATGCAGGCTTCTATTTCCTGCCTACCTTTTCCTCCCTGGGGTTACTTACCTGTTGATACATGCCCAAATTCTATAACATATGGTTTTCATATTTGGCTAATCATCAAGGAACTGAGGTACCCACATAAGATTTTAGAGAAAAGGGAGGATTTTTGTGAATAATACCACCAAGACAAATGGAAATTCACACTGGTCTTCAGGAACAAAAATTTTTCATAAATGCATAATAAACTAAGTGTATATATATATATTTTTCTCTGCTTACCGGTTCTGTAAGAACCCTTTCTGATTGTCCCATTCCCAATTTCCTGCTAGATCCCCTTGGTAAAAATAGAAGAGTAACAAGAGCATCATATGTTTTAGTTTTACACCTTTATCCTTAGTAATAGGTAAGATATCAGCCACTAAGCCACATGACTTTCTCAAGAGCTCCAGATCCTTTCCTGCTTTCTCATTCTGGCTGCTAATGTAAGCTAGTCATTTTCAGACCCTTAGTGGTAATTGCGGATGTGTCTTTCTGCTGGTCTCCCCCAGGGCCTCCCGATGTGCATCAGCCTTGTGAGCCGAGCCTACAGGCCTGGAGTCCTGAGCTTCACCTGTACAACACGAACATGACGGTGCCCTGCCCCCCAGAAGGCTGTAGCTTGGAGCTGCTCTTCCAATACCCCGTGCAAGCCGACACATTCACCCTGTGGATCACTTACCTCTCCGTGAATTCCTCCGTAGCCCTCCTGGACACAGAGATCTTGCTGGAAAACCAGGAGTCTGTGCACCTGGGCCCTTATCACACTTTCTGTGACACGCCGCTCACCATCAAATTGCCCACGGAAGGGAAAGTCTTGGGAGTGAAAGTGTACACCTTGGATGAGCGGATGGAGATTGATGCGGCGCTGCTGACCTCGCTGCCCGGCAGTGCCCTGTGCTCTGGCTGTCAGCCTGTGAGGTACCAGGTTCTGCGAGATCCGCCCTTTGCCAGCGGCTCGCCAGTGCTGATGACACATCCTTACAGGACCTTCACGGACAGGTGCGTTGTGCAAAACGGCCTTCTACACCAGGGGCCAGCTTTGTCCCCTCCTCTACTGTGACTTTCTATTGTTCTGTTACGTCCTCCATTGGAGAACTGTTTGGGATTGGCAGGGAAGCAGACTTTCATTCTAAAGTGGCTTATCTATGATGAATAAAAATCTTTCCCCTAAGGGAGACAAATAGCTCACTGCCCCTGTCATCGTGATGGTGGGAAAGGGGGAGATATTACTTGTGTGAAGGATTTCGGTTGGACTCAGTGAAATTGCCACACATAAGTTCTCAGAAGCAGTCTTCAACCTGGTGACAATTTGATTTCTGATTCCTTGCTGTGGCTCTCTAACACCCTGCCATGGCTTCTGTAACCGAGTTACAATCACCTCTTTCATACCCCAGCAGAAAGATGACGGACATTGCAGAGTGACATTATGCTCTAGTTTCGTGACTCATATATGGTGTATTTTATCCCTTCTCCTTCTTTTCTGATTCTCCTTCCTTTCTCTTTTTCTCCCTTTCTTCCAAGTGTTCATTGTTCATTCTCTTATTTCTATTCTTTGTATGTTTAGTGAGTTAAGACTCAGTGTACTTAAGTGCTGAGGTCAGAAGATATAAGGCCCTGGCCTTATTTAGTGTCTATTTAATGTCTATAATAGGAGGCTGGTATCTCCAGAGAACATCCCTCCATACTTTGTTTGCTGCTGTTGTTCTGGTGGTGGTGGTGGAGCTTGAACTCAGGATTCAAGCCTGAGCACTGTCCCTGAGCTCTTTCGCTCAAGGCTAGTGTTCTACCACTTTGAGCCACAGGGCTACTTCCCAATTACTGCTGGTTAATTGGAGATCAGAGTCTCATGGACTTTCTTGCCCAATTCTCAGATCTCAACCTCCTGTGCCTAGCTTGTAATTTTCTTAAGAGAATGATCCAAGGTCAGAACCAGGAAAAAACCAAACCTTGTCAAAGGTGTTATATCATTTAGTTTTTGCTACATTATTTATCATCACAAAATAGAGTAGGTCAAAACAACAAATGTTGTTTCTCACAGTTCTATGGATGGGCTGGGCATTCTCATCCAGATAGCTTGCCCAGAGCCAGATGGTGGCCCCAGCTGACCTCCTGTGTATGTTGAAGGCCTCAGCTTAGGCAGCTAGCATGGGACCTCTTTGCTCCATCATCCTGGCCTGGTCTTCCCTTGGTGGTGGAAAGGTTCTAGCAGCAAAGGGACAAGCCCTACTTCACCTGTGTCTACCAAGTCTGTGCTTCACATTGTTATTATGTTCTTCCTTCCCAGTTGAGTCACTCAGCTAATTCCAGATTCCAGGGGCAACAAAATAAATGTTCCTTTCCATGGGCAACACAGCAGTCAAATCCCAGCAAGCACAGCCTGGTTGGAGTGGTCTTTTGGCAATCTAGCACAACTACGAAAAGTGAAGCAAATTCCTACCTGTGATCTAATATATTTTTCTTCCCATATTGGCTTTCATCCTTAGAATGAGAGGGCAATAAAATGATCTTTTTTTTTCAAATTGGAAGATAGAACACAGGGATAATTTAAATGAAAAACAAAACTAAAAAAAGCAAGTCCTGTGCTGGTGTGGCTCACATATGTAATCATAGCTATATCATAACTATCCAGGAGGAGGTTGAGATCTGAGGATCATGGTTCAGGTTCAAAGCCAGATAGGTCAGGAAAGCCTGTAAGACTCTTATCTACAACTATCAAGCAAAAAGCCTGAAGTGGAGTTGTAGTTCAAGCAGTTGAGTGTCAACCTTGGGCATAAAAGACAGTCAAGTATATGAGACACTGAGTTCAATCCCCAGTACTGGAAATGAATAAATGAATGGATGGATTAATCAATTAAATAATATGTAAAAAATACCACTTTTTAACTTCTCTGGTAAGGCAGTTAATATGGTATTTGTTACCTAATGATATCCTCATTCCTGCACATAAACTTTTAAGGCCAATAATTTCCCAGTTTGTAGATAGAAAACAGACACTTTATTTGGTTGCCTAACCTGGTAAATGAATGACAGACTCAGGATTAAAATCCAATTTTCCTACAAAATCTCATTTCCATTCTCTTTGCTCAGTAACACATTGACTTTTACAAACTCAGAGATTATTGAATGCCTGAGCTAACTGCCATTATGATTCTCCCATCCCAAGAAGAGTAAACACATACTGACATTTCCATCTAATCCTTTCCCAGCCAAGACTTTTATGCACGGCTGGACAAGAAGCCCTGGAGAAACTACCTTGTAAAGAGGACCAGGATATACAATTGGGCTTGCTTTAGAAATATCTGCCACTGTCATGAGAGGGTTGTTCCCTCAAAAAAGAAAACTAATTTGGAAGTTTAAAAGTCTCTCATATTTAGGTGACTTTCCTATTAAAATTTCTTAAAAGCCAGCCTAGAGGTTTATAGAGGTATTTGGGAAACCCCAAGCTATTTCCTGTTTGCTGGGTGTGTTATACCAGGTGAGCAAATGGAGGCTTTGCGGTTGATTTGAAGAGTTTGAGAGAAAAGAACGACCTGGCAAGATCCATTGGGATTTTGTCCTTTCAAATACCTTTCATCCTAGCTTAACTTTGGTGGTACTTTTTAAATCAGGGCAAACCTGGGATAAAAGTAAGATGAAGGCAGGGTTTATCTTTGGAACTAGCAGCCTCTCTTGTTGACCCCTCTCCTCCGCTAACTATCTGTCTCTCCTGTGTCCTCTTGATCACTGAATTAGGGCTCTATTGAGTCCAATCCATTTCTTATATCAACTGTTATAACTGCCCACTTCCAGGTTTTCATAGCTACAAAAAACATAGAAGGAAAATGGTTAGTGGGCTTAATTCCTGGAATTATGAAGAAACAAATCTAATATATTTCTAACTGGGAATATTTTGCTTCTCCCACATATTAATGAAAAGTGTTTCAATCTCCTACAACAAGATAGCTGCTCTTACCTTTAAGGATTTAATCTCTTCAAGATAAGAATTCCCCTGAGAGATGATAAAGCTGGGATCCACAGACTGAGCCCCACTCTGAACCTCCATTCCAGTTTCTCTCATTACTTTAAGAAACAGAGCATTGGTTTTTCAGTGCTTGTCTTGTTTTCACTTAGTTAAAACTCATACAAGTTCCCTAGGTTGTCTAGGACTATTATATTTAATGTTAACTCACCCTGCACTTATTTCATGTCTATTGTGTGGAGTGTATGGGGAACACTGGTTTTTACTTCATACAATGCACCATGTTCGACATTTCTGTCCTCCATCACTGTCTTCTAAAACTCCTATGAGCCATTTGCAAAGGCCCCAGTGCAGGCTTCCCTTTGAGGCTGTCATGGTCGTTAACCCATTGGTTTCCACAGGGAGGTCACGCCTGGGCAGATGTATGAGTACCAAGTCCAAGCTGAAGCTGGAGGAGAACTGGGAGAAGCTTCACCTCCCCTAAGCCACATCCATGGAGATCCCTACTGTGGAGATGGGAAGGTCACAGGGTGAGTCTTATGTGTGTGTGTGTGTAGGAATGTGTGAGTTAGGCTACTCTGTCTAGGACTGTCAGCCTCCAGTTTGAAGTTGACTTGTTTGGAAATGGAAAGGGTAACCTACATTACAAATTCTGGGACTTTGTGTGATCACCTTAAAAGGTCACTGACATCTATAGTTAGGAAAGAATCCACTTCGATTTACAGCTCATCCTAGGATAGCTGGATCTTTGGGGCAACTTTATGCCCTCAATGAATAATTGCTGGGGATGGATACAGGGAAGAAATTTGTGCAGAAAGTTACTTGTTAACTAATGCTGGAAGAGTATCAGCCAAATGACCTATACTTTAATTAACTGTGTGGATTTATTAACTAAGTGTTTAAATTGAGGAAGTCAGCAGCTCCTTTGACCCCAGAAAGATTAATTACAATGCAATTTCCAGCTTTTCGGTAAACACTACCAAGATGAAGATAGAATTGCTTCTGGTTATTTCTCAAACATGCCATGCTCCTTTCATTATAGTTGGCCAGGAATTGTTCCCGATGTGTATACTGAATTATCACTAAGACTAGGAAATTCAGGGCAGATGGACACATTATATAAACCTGTCCTTAAGCTCATCTAGCTGTTCAACATCCTAGATACCATCATCTGAGCTGCTCTCCCCATGGTGGATTAAATGACTCTCCCTTAAATTCTGCAACTAAGTCATTCTTATTTTTAATATTTTGTATACTTCTAGTTTACCACTTAATATACATATAACATTATTGTATCCACAGCAAACTTTTAACTCATGTAAATAATTTTTCTCATTTATTTATTTAACCATCAATCTGTTTTTATAATAATATTCTGAAGTTCAGTGCATATCCACTGGGGGGGGAGGGAAATAGTAACCATCATCTATTTTTCACTAGCAAAATTGAGTTGTAACCAAAGTTTATTTTGTTCTTGCAAAATTCTTTCTATTCCTCTCCCTGTAAACTAGCTTACCTACCTTGATCTATATTTACTCACCCACTCAGAATTTGAGGTTCAAAATGACATTTGTTATCCAGCTCTTAGAAAATTCTGCCCTGCAATACATTATAGCTGCCACCAGGTGGTAATAAGGAGTAATGTTAGGGACCTGGACCCTAGAAGGATGCTCAGAACTAAGTTACATCCTAGCTGCTTGAACATCCTAATAGTTAGACAAAAAGGAGATACAAGTCTACCAAATGCAATATTATTACCCAAGGAAAAACAATGATTTAAAAGCACAATGGGGTAGGCTACTTTGTTGTTGAGGATTATTTGGATATTTGGTATTTTTGTCATTTTGTATCAATTTTAGATGGTTTCCTTTAGTTCTTTTTTTTTTGGGGGGGATCCGGTCGTGGGGACCTGAACTCTGGTCTTCAGCTGAAAGCTAGCGCTCTACCACTTGAGCCACAGCGCCACTTCCGGCTTTTTTCTTTTTGCTTATGTGATGCTGAGGAATCGAACCCAGGGCCTCAGGCATGCAAGGCAAGCGCTCTACCACTGAGCCACCTTCCCAGCCCTGGTTTCCTTTAGTTCTGTGAATAGTGTCATTAGTATTTTGATAAGGATCCCATTGGAGCAGCAGGTTACGGATTCTTCCAATTGTTGATTCTTCCAACCCATGGGCATAGATTCTTTCTATTTTGTGTGGGGATGTGATGTGTATGTCCTCTTATGGTTTTCATCAATATTTTACAATTTAATTGTAGAGACTTTTACTTTCCTGGTTAAATTTGTTTCTAGGTATGTTCTGAATTGGTAGCTATTATAAATGAGATTGCTTACTTGATTTCTATTTCAGATAATAAGCTATTAGTAGAGTATAGTAATGCTACTGATTTTGTAACTATTGGGTTATTACTTTTTATTAATACATTTAACCAATTGAAAAATAAAATCACCCTTCTAAAACTCCACTAATCAGTAAGTTAAAAGGCATTTTTATGCTTCTGACCCCCTACCAGAAATAGTTTATCAGATCTTTTCTGGGTACTCTGTAAATATTTCAAATCAGGAAGACACTTAAGACACTGCTTAGACTTCCCACCACACACCAGATACAACCATTGACTAAAATAGGACCTATTTTTAATGTCTGTGTATTTATATATTTGTTTTGTTTACTTGTAGTGCTAGAGGTAGAACTCAAAAGTTCCTAGACAGCTACTCTGCCATTGAGCGACAGCCTTAGCCTAGGCTTGATCTTAGCCAAAAAACCAGAAGCAATGAACATCCCCATCCCAAATGTCTGTGTGTTGGTTTGTTTTCTATAAAGGCATCCCTCTTAGCTCCCACCCTTCCATTATGTACTGAATCTTAACACATTGAAAAATACATAGACAAACCCCCAAAACAACCCTGCTATGTGTGTGTTTGTATGTGTATGTCTAGAAGCCTGGGAGAAGAGTGTGATGGCGGAGACCTGTTGAACGGAGACGGATGCTCAAGGGCATGTAAACTAGAGGAAGGTTTCAACTGTGTAGGTGAGTGTGAGTTCCTGCCTAGAATTATACCTTTTAACATAGTATAAACATGAAGTACAGAAGGGTTACAGTTTCATAACTAAGGTAATGAGGACATTTCTTTATGAACAGGGTCACCTCTTCATTTTCTCCCACTCACCCCCGACTCCACTCCCAAGTTGTAAAGTTAGTTTCCAACATAGTGTCTAGTGAGCATCACTGTTGCGTGGATTCACCCTTTGTTCCACCATTTCTGTGATTGCCCTTCCTTTCCCCAAATCAGGTATATATACAAGATGAGGGGTACAGAAATCCAAAACAGTGACAAAAGGGAATACATCAAAAGAGAAAAAGAAAGAAAGAAAGAGAGGGGGGAAGAAAAGAAAGGAGAAATGACTGCAAACAGAATACTAAAATATACCTCTTGTTTCCATTTCTTGGAGTTTATTTCATAAGGATCATTTTATATGGTCATATGTATATAGCTATTGAACTATTGTGGGCCTCTACTAAGAATATCCATATTTTAGTTATTACAAATGAGGGAAACCATGAAGCCAGTGTTTCTTTGGTCTGACTTGCTTTGCTTAAAATAATTTTTCAAAGTCTTTCCATTTACCTTAATTGTAGATGTCTCAGTGTATTATTTTGTGAGTTCCCAATATACTAGAACATACAGCTTAATGAACATGATGATAACATTTGATGTATCCCAATCACTAGATCAACCCATTTAACACTTACCTAGTGAAGAGTGAACTAAACTGAAATAGGGAAGGATTGTAGCATTTATATTTGCTTATTTAGGTGGAGGTGTTAAAATTAGGATTAAATGCAAGTTAATATACCTCTAAGAGCTCATCTTAAACCATTTGATTATATTTGTGCCTACCTTTCTGCTACCAAGAATCTCTCTTGAGTCCCCATGTGAAGCACCAAAATATACATTTGAGAATACAAATTTGAGTAAGGAAGTTCTCTAAGCCAGGGTGAAGGCAACCTGGTATCTGTATTTAATATATAAGATTATGTAAAATGACAGAAGGGAATGTCCTTTTCTTTTTAGCCATGGAGAATCACTGGTATTAAGTTGTGTGTAAGAGGCTTTGACCCTAAACTCTAGGAACTCCAAGGCCTGGCCTACAGCACTCTTCCCAGTGCCGATGGGCCTCCTGACTCTCAGTTTTTTTTAACAGAAGACTGTTTTCTATTCCAGGTTAAAACACCAAAATGATTCTGTGGGGCACAATCACATGTCATAGTTATTTCAAATAGTAGTGCATTTGAAAATACTTTAATATCTATACAGTGTAAGTTAAAGTAAGAAATTATAATTATGTATAATTGAATAAGATATCAAGATTGTACAGAACACACAAATGCCCCTGCTTTTTACAGGCAGAGTAGAATCACAGAGTCTTAATGTTTACCCCTCTATCCATCCTTCTATCATCCACCCATCATCTATCCCTTCATTACCCATTCTTCATTGATTATCCATCCATCCACCCATCCATCCATCACAAGTTATCTATCCTTCTACTCTCCATTTATCCATCATCCATTTATCATCAATTTTCTATCCATTCCTCCATTCCTCCACACATCATCTATACATTTAAGGAACAAATACCCACAAATATACCATGTATTCAGTAGTACCACCACATACTCAATACTTATCATGTGCCAAGAGCTTAACAGAGACCTATTCCTTTCAAGCAGTGACTCAGCATTCAGTTTTGCTTTCTTTTAGAAAGCACTTTTACAAAATCCTTGGCGATCTATAGCTTCTGTTTACATAATTATAGCAGTGACAAATGCACCTTGAAATAGACCTTTTTTTTTTAAACAACAAAATGGCTTGGTTATAGATACTTCTCCCATTGTTCAATTTGTAAACTGAGGCTCAGAATATTTGAATGACTCATCCAAGAACATTCAACAAGGCTGCTGCAGATCCATTCCTGAATCCAGCTTTTCCTGTGCTTAATTAAGAGCATTTTCCTTGATCTGAAGCTACAGAGAATACATTTTTCCTATTTTATTTGACTACCATTCAGATATTTGAAATGCCTCCTTATTATTTTCCTTTCCAATCCAAATATCCCCTCATGTGATTAGGTTTCCAGACCCTTTCCTATTTACCTCAACCTGGCATGTTTCTCATGGTCAATGCCCAGAAAGGAATCTAATACTGCAGATGTGGTTTGGCTATGCAGAATACACAGAATGGATTACCTCCCTCTTCTGTGCAGAAGTATTTGTTAATGCCACCTCTGTTTGCATCCTTTCTTTTTTGGTAGCCACACAGTGGTCTCATAATGAAAATAAACATACATTCTCCAAACACTGTGCTGTCCAGATCAAGTCTCATTTAACTTAAGCACAAACTTCACTTTTTTTTTCTATCACATTTGATCCCATGAAATTTGACTCATATTTCCTCAGACTCTAACTCCAGTAAGACTATATCTAAATTATTTTAACTATGCTTAAATACTATACTTAAGAGTATATTTAAATTATTTACTGGGTATCGTTAACATGGAATGTTCTACCACTAAGACATTGTTTTCAGTGAGTACTGAATTCATTTTATGCTAAGCATATAGTTCCATTTTATTATTTTTCAAAATATTAGATTCAAAGGAAGCATTTGAAATGTATTTTTAAAGTGGTCTGTTGTTTTCAGATGAATTTGAAAAGAAAAAAAAACAGTTTTAAATCTATGGCATAAAAAGTCGAGAAGAGGAAGAGGAGCTATGGCCCAAGTGCAGAGTGTTAGCCTTGAGCTGAAAAGCTCAAAGACAGCACTCAGGCCCTGAGTTCAAGCCCCACAACCACCATCAACAAAGCAGATAGGAAACAAGGAGACTTGGTTTATAAATATTTGCACCTTGAAGCAAATGAGTCTCCATGTCTGATTAATAGGAAGTATCCTGTGAGCAAATAGGTTGCTTGCCCAATGAATCAAACCTTGCTTTCCAGTTTTCTTTTCGGAACAGTTACTTAGCCAAAGAAATAGAATTCAGTGAGAAGAGAGATGGAAAGAAACACAATTCAATGAACAAACTCCTCAATTATTTTAGTATTTCAAGAATCAAGAAAGGAAATTTAAAAAACCATAATACATTACACCTATCATTTGAATCCTCTTTCTGCTTCATTCACATCTCCAACATTCCCTAGATGTCTTGTTGACTTTTTTCCTCTATCCATCTTGCAGTTTGTTTCCTCACCAATCCCCTACTCCCCCAGTCCCAGCCCTTGCTATAGCTTTATTTTGTGGGTGGATTTTAACCCTTCCCCAGTTTAAAAAAAAATCCTCTTCCTTAAAGTTGTAAGTGTGGTGTGTTTGGGGTAAGGATTGGGCTAGTGGGAATTCACAGGATCTTTTTGGTGGGCTAGAGGAATAATGTGGTGAACACAGCTGTTATCCCCCCCCCCATGAAATGTAATAACATTTTCCAATAAAATACATGCTTCTTATCAGGGGAGCCAAGCCTCTGCTACAGGTATGAAGGAGATGGAATCTGTGAGCCCTTTGAGAAGGAAACCAGCATTGTAGACTGTGGCTTCCACACGCCTGAAGGGTATTTGGATCAGTGGGCCACCCAGGCTTACTCATCTCATGAAGACAAGAAATACCCCGTTGCCTTGGTAAGAGGAGAACCTCATTCCATGGTAAGTCAAGCCAGGTGAATTGGGTCACGGTTGTAAAACAAGATTGTAAAAATTATTCCACTAGTTGCTGAATGGGAGCTCGCCTCTTTCTCCAGATACTGGCATTCTTTTTTCTTTAACCTCACTGATCTCAGATCAAGATAATATTAGTGGAAACGCTTGTGGATTGGCATTGAAATCCTATCACTCATACCCACCCCCACCCAAGCTCTGTGGCTTTCATCTAGGAACCTTTGATCATTAGCTGACTCTAGGGTATATACACAGAATCCCCAAATTGGATTTACAAATACATGCATCAGAACTTACTCTTGACCTCTGTTTTGGAGAATATATTGTGAAAGAATAAAAAGTAGGAAGAACTCAGAAATCTTGAGGTACACCACTGAATTTGCTAGCATTACCATTATGGCATCTTGGACAAGTCCCTAAACCGCCCTAGTCCCCAAATTTCTCATATGTAAATGAATATGTGATTATCTTTTGTATTAAATGGAATGATAAATTATAAAGATCAAATGAGATGTAAAGTATGTGTTAAATATCAAAGGAAAACTACCTTTAATAATTATTACTGTAGAACTCTTAGACTTAGTCATTAGACAGTTTCTCCTGAACATCTTCCTAAATAGATGGGAAATCTTCTGTAGACTCTACAATGTAACACTAATCATATTTATAAATTATTCTTGATTACTAAAACAAGATTAAAGGCTCTTGGGTACCTTTCAGATACTTCTCATTGCCAAATACTCTCTTCCACACTTCCTAGCAGTAGGTAAATCAGTCCTTCATAGATATGTTAGCTTGCCAGTTGATTCAAGCCAGGATGAAATCATTGTATTTTAGATCTAAGGAAACCTCTCAGAAGAGGCTGAGGAACCACCAAGCTGTTGCTCTGGTTCAAGCAACTCCTCAACAACCCCTCTGTCTTCTGGACTCCAGTTCTTCCACTCTTGGCTTGCAGTATTTTTTTTTCTCCTCCTCCTAAATGGCTCCTGCTCTACTAGGCATGAAATCAGCCTTTCCAGGAGGAAGAATTTAGCAGGTCAGAGAGAAATTAGTATATGCCAGCTGAGCATTTCCTTTTTGTTTGGAAAATGGCATCTTTTCTGGAAGCTCAACACTACAGACTTCCACCCACATTATACTGGTCAGGTAAAGCTCACTTCTTCCCCTTTACTTGTAAGGAGCCCTGTGAAGATGAGCCAATTATGTCAGCAGTGACCTTAAATGACATTGGAGTTAATTAATAAGAGAGTCAGGGGAATTAGATGTGATGAGGTAACTTCCTGTCATACTCTCTCAGCCAAATTATAGCATCTTTCTCTGGAAGACAGGAAAGTTGAGCGATTTCAGTTAGTGACCCTTCTCTGAAGTAGTTTTTAGTCTAATCTATCTTCCCAAAGTAAAGTAAACAAAGTTTTCCTGGAGTTCTGTAATTCTTCTTTGAAGAAGAAAACCATAACTCAGACCAATGCCCAATAGCTTCCTTAGTCAACAGCTTCCAATTGGTAGCCAGACAAAGTTGCATGATTACAATTTATCCAGCATGTTAGGAAGAGTAGAATGACTGATCCTAGGAATAATTACCTGAAATATGCCAGGGCTGTTCTTTGGGCAAGATCTCTTGGCCAATAGTGGACTGAAAATTGTATATGTTTGTTTGTTTGTTTGTTTTAACCTCTCATGTCGTGTTATTAATGCTAAGAGAAAACATTGAAAAGTTATTCTACATTGAGAAGACTGAGACATTTTTGTTTGTTTCCTGCCAAAAACTTTGGTCCCATAGAGGAGAGTTTGTCTTTACTTATCACTCATACTCTACACCTGATTTTTGGTTGAACTTACATTTCAGATTTGCACATCATACCATCCAGATTTACCCAAGCACCTGCCCCTAACTGGCTGGTTCCCCCATGTTACCAGTGGAAAAAGACCGCATGATAAAGAGAGTGAGCAGATGGAGGCTAGCCTGGAAAAGAATGATGAGATATGGCTTGAAGTAAGTGGCCTTGATTTTTGTAAATGGTGGAGGTATGTGTATGTCACTGTGTGTGTGTGTGTGTGTGTGTGTGCGTGCACGCGCGCAAAGTTCTTCATTCAATGACTTGTCAGAGAACACATTTTGTTGTTTTAAGGTATTATTATTATTATTGGTTGTTTTATTTTGTCAGTCATAGGGCTTATATTCTGGGCCTGGGCGCTGTTCCTCAGCTCTTCAGCTAAAGGCTAGCGCTCCACCACTTAAGCCACAGCACCACTTCCAGTTTTCTGGTAGTTTATTGGAGAGAAGAGCCTCACGATCTTTCCTGCCCAGGCTGGCTTTGAATTGTGATCCTCAGATCTCAGCCTCCTGAGTAGGTAGGATTAAGGCATGAGCCACCAGACCCCCCACCCCGGATATTTCAATGATGACAGTGGAGTTGTGATTCAGGGCCTTGTGCTTGCTGCCATACCTCCAGCCTTGAGCCTACATAGTTGAATATATTTGGTCTCAGACTTTTCCTCTGTGAGATTCTTTCTTACTCCTTCAATCTCATTGCTAATTATAGATCTTTTTAGGCTGCTTATATCCTCGTGGCTTGATTTTGGTAGGTTAGATGTGTCTAGAAAATCAGCCATTTCTTTTAGATTTTCAAATTTATAGGAATATAAGTTTTTGAAGTGTTTCCTAATGATTCTCTGCATTTCGTTGCAAGTATTACAATATACTTTTCACTTTAGTTATATTAATTTGAGTCTTTTCTTTCATTTGTTAGTTTAGCTAAGAATTTGTCAATTTTATTTATATTTCCAAAGAACCAAAATTTTGCTTCACTGATCCTTTGTATATGAGACTCCATTTAGTGATTTTTTCCACCTTGATCTTTACTATTTCTTTCCATGTATTAATTTTGGGTTTCACTTGCTTTTATTTTTCTAACACTTTGAGAGGTCAATTTTACTTAACAGTAGTAAGTTTAAGATTTTTAAAAAGGACAAATTACATAAACATTCAACTTACCAAAGGCACTCAGTTTCCTTCTAAGCATGACATTAGCAATATCCCACATTTCCCATTTTATTTTTGTTGTTATTCAGTTCACACATACTTTCAAGATTTTATTGTGATTTCATTCTTGCCTCTTAAATGAATTGTTAGTGGGCTGTTTAACTTAAAGATATTTTTACAGTTTGAGGCTTTTGTCTTTATTTACAGATAGACGTTGGTCAAAAGTTTATTGTGTATTTCAATGCTTTGAAATTTGTTGAACCTTGAATATACATGGGTATGGATGAGCATATGGTCAATGTGAGTAACGACAAGTTTACATGTACAAGTAATGATAGGACAAATTTGAACATCATTTTTTATTTTTTTATTTCCTATATCATAGATGTTATAAAAAATATAGATATTTTATGTATATATTTTCCCTAATTCTTTTTGCATTGCTTTACAAAGATGTGCTAAAATTCTCCCATCATAAACTTGGATTTGTTTCTTTTTCTTTTGCTTCTGTTGCTTTTGGATTCATAAATTTCAGTGCGTATTAATACTTATGTAGGCGGTCCTCTACATGGAAAAGTAGGACCACAAAATGACTATGAAGGTGAAACTATGCGAAGAAAATATTTACAATGAGAAGCGTTACAATGTTTCATGGCTTCTAACTTCTTTATGCCAAATGCTCTTATTTTTAGTTAAACATATGTAGGCAAATGAAGCAATTCTTATAGCTCCTTGCCTCACTAATTTAAAACATGAAGAAAATGCAGAATTAAAGTATTACATTCCTTTGTACATAGAAAAGATGCCAAGAATAGTTTGGTCATTGCTTGTCTTTTTCTCTCTCTGATTTATGTTACAAACCAGGCAAGTTTTTTATGTCTCTAGGAATTGCCTTATTCCTCACTAAGCTCATTATCAGCTTCTAACACTTTATCCCTCATTCTCCCTTTGTTGTGAAATGTCCCTGAGGATTTAGTGACAGGAAGTTTTTACTTGGTATCACTTCCTCTAAGGCATCTTCATCCTTTTTGTCAAGACTCCTTTTCTCATTAAAGATGAGCAAGGAACCTCCCTCCATTGAGGTTCTCTGGCTTTGGTGGCACTGATGTCTCCATTCTCTGTTAACTCTTCTGCAACTCTGTTTACTATTAACTAAATTTAACTTCAGGAATGATCATTTATCTTTTTTTGCCTCATTTTCAGCCTTGTTCAGTTACCTCCTTTGACATCCATTTTTTGTGGATTGTCATGTAGATTTATCACTAGAGAAACAGAAATGACATGGCTACATACTTTACTATGTCTGTGTGGCTCAAATTAGCTGATAACTAGTGTCCTGCCAATAGCAGACTCTGAAACAAGTGGTAAACTTGGTCAGAGTCATGATTAACACCTGGTATTTTTTTTAATTGAAAGGATAGCAGTAAAATTTCTACTTTATGCATTTGCAATGAGTACCTTACCGACTGAAACTTGAATCCTCTTGTTGAGAGACATATTTAATAAAGTAGATTGCTAGTTTTGGTTGTTGTTTTTTATTTTTTGGTCGGTCGTGGGGCCTGAACTCTGGGCCTGGATGCTGTCCCTCACCTCGTCAGCTGAAGACTAGTGCTCTACCACCTCAGCCCCACTTCTGGCTTTTTCTGCTGATGTGGTGCTGAAGAATCGAACCAAGGGCCTCATGCATGCAAGGCAAGCACTCTACCACTGAGCCACCTTCCCAACCCCTAGATTGCTATTTTTTTTGTGGAAACAGGAACTGTATAAATTGGAAACTATGAGTATATAATTTAAGAGTTCGTCCGTCATAGTAATTTGTCTCTTTAAATGAATAAATACCTTATTTTCTCTCTAGTAATACCAAATTAATTTTCTCTATACTTATTTTGTTTGAAATGTTCTATCTTGTAATCAGTTTAAAATATATTAATCTTACTAATTTTGAAGTTCATAGCACCAATGTCTTAGTGATCTAAACTTTTTTTTAGTTTTTATTTTCTTTTAGTTGTCATTCATTTGGTTCATAAAGAAATGATGTGTTCATTGAATATCAGACAATGAATACACTGAGCAGGTTCCAGTTAATACTATATTTTTCAATATGATCATCTGATGCTTATTAAGATGTGGGGAAGGTCACGTTAATCCAATAAGTAATCAAGAAACTCAAGCTGTGCTCTTGTTCTGTGTGGTCCTTGATAGATTTCTTCCAAGGCCTTGCTCTTCTGAGGTTTGCATGAACAGCATGAATTGGACCCTCCACTTTGGGATCTATGACATGCAATTTCTATTTTCTCAACTGTATGTGTCTGCCAATGGTTGTTGGCGTCTCTCTAGCCAATTTTTGCTAGACTTTCTATACTTTTAGTCTGCATAGTTGAGGAGGTGTATCTCAGAGGCACAGAATGCTAAATTCCATTCATGTTGTTTCTTTCCTTTTGAGATATTGTGCTCTTAGATCCTGAGTCTTGATTGTTCTCAAATGCTTCCAAGTATTATTGCTTTTTTATGTAATTCACATTTTACATTTATATTTGTCAGCGGTGCTTGTTCTACTACAAGATCACTCTATCATAACTGGAAGCAGACATTTTCAACTGGAATAATATATCAATTTACTACTTCATATATTTATGGTAATAATGTGTTCTTATGAATGACCCAAATGAATAATCCTAGGAAAACAAACTCAACAATATCTTTGAAAGTTACATTAGTATGTAAAAATCTATTAATAAAACATAGATTTCAAAACACACACATTGTATCAAATAAATTTGAAAGTAAATTTGAAAAATAACCTAGTTAGAATTTTTTTTTTGTCTGTTGTGGGGCCTGAACTCTGGGCCTGGGTGCTGTCCCTCAGTTCTTCAGCTCAAGGTTAGCTCTCTACCAATTGAGCCACAGCGCCACTTCCAGCTTTTTCTGCTTATATGGTGCTAAAGAATCGAACCCAGGGCTGATGCATGCAAGGCAAGCACTCTACCACTGAGCCACCTTTCCAGCCCTGTAGTTAGAATTTTTTGCCCTTTGAAAAAAGTTTTTTGACAGGTTTAGGATTTCTGACACTTCATTCTTCCTTTCACTGTAATTTAATCTTAATTTGATACACTAATATGACTTGTATGCTGTGGATCAGAGTGAAATTGATTGCACATGAGAGAAATAACAGTACTGGAAAATATTCACCTTGCAAATATCTTTCCAAGTTCTTTCATTTAGTAAAATACTACTTGCCCTGCCCCTCAAGACTTCTAGCACTTTATTTCACTATTTACTGGGGTATGATATTCCCTTAGTATTTTTTTTATTTTCTTCTTGAGTTTAATAGACTGTAAGAATCTTCTTACATAACATAAAGTGTAAATTCTTTTTGTTAACTGAAATATTAAACACATTTTACAGCCATTTATGGCTTACAAAATGCATTTTCTTGCCTGGTTTTTAATCCCTACATTTCACAAGTTAGGTGTTCTTCTGTTTTATAGATGAAGAAAGTAATATATATATATATATATATATATATATATATATATATATGATTCACAGTGCCTTTTCTATCTCCAAAGAATAAGATGGTGAACCTGAAGTTCAGGTTCTGACCTCTTGATTCTAATCCCATTTACATTCTCTACTGTCTGTTTTTCCACCAATCAAAATTCATCAAGTACTTCCAATATGCCAAGTCCAGAATGAAGGACTGGAGATGGGCAAAAGATAAGCAAGAACACAAATTAAAACCTCTGGGAAATTGACAAAAAGATTTTTTGCCTTCTGCTGAATTTCTTCTAAACTTTTCATGGCTGGTACTCAATCACTTAAGCCATGCCTCCACTCCAGTTTTTTGCTGGTTAATTATAGGTAAGTGTCTCTTGGGTGTGTTTTCCGTCTTGGTTTTGAACCTTAATTAGTCTTCTGTGTGGCTAGGATTATAGGCATGAGCCACTTTCACCTGGCTTTTTCTTTCCATTTTCATTAGCATACATTAGTTGTACAAAGGGATTTCATAA